TTCACCATCATTCACTCCATCACTGTCTTGCCAGAAGGGTGCTTTACACTACAGTTTTTAAACTGCAACATTAACACCTCTCCTTCATTAAAACATTTAGAAAAGATGACCATTAGTAAATGTGCAGCGTTGAAGGAATTATTATAAAGAATACTATAAAAATCTATTCATTAAATCGCACACCGTCAATAGTTATATATAACAATATTTAATAAATCGATTGAAAAGAGAAAAACGCCAAGTGATAGAAAACTGACTGTTATTCCAGTATAACAAAAGGGAGATATTTCTTGCGTTTTTAATTATCGTCCCGTCAGGCTGACCTCTGCAAGTGGCCTGCGAGGTCACCGGACCTGTTTGTGACTTCTTTCTTTGGGGGTACGTGAAGAGCACAGATTATGTACCACCGCTACCTGCAACCCTGGAGGAGCTGGAAATTTCGATCACTGAAGCAGTTCACTTGATAACACCAGATATGCTGCAGAGCGTCTGGACCGAACTGGACTATCACATCGATGTTTGCCGAGCAACCAGAGAGGTGCACATTGAGCGCCTTTAATGCTACCCTATACCACATGAAACTGAATGAAATCCTGCATCTGAAGCTACTAACTGTGAAAGATTATTACAATAAAGTTACATGTTATATCTGTTTGAAATCAAGGAGTGTTTTTGTGGCCACTCGGTATATTTATACATGTCGTGCCGAATAGGTAAAGCTAGTCAATTGGCAAGAACTCATTTAAAATTAAGTCCTTTCTAAAATTTTCTCTTATGCATTTAAAGACATATATTTTTTCATTTATGTTAATGTAAAAATTAGTAATTTTGTACCAAAAGAACCTTAGAAAACTTACCTAACCTTATAACAAGCACAATTTAATTTAGCCTAATCCAACTAAATATATTTTAGATAAGCTTACAATAATTTAATAATTAAAAAACACAATGAAATTTAATTTTTTTCGTTAGGTTCATAATGATTTTTGAGAAATTATTACGTACACAAATTTTCGGTTGCCTTATTCGGCAAGAAGGGCATTGCTATTTAAGCCAAAATCGCAAGCTTATCCTATTCTGCACGCCATATATATATATATATATATATATATATATTATATATTATATATATATATATTTTTATATATATATATATATATATATATATATATATATATATATATATATATATATATATATATATATATATATATATTTTATATATATATAATATACAGCAATTTGTACATGGAATATTTTGAAACAAGATTGCTTAACAAAATGCTTCCCAACAGAGCTAAGTGGTACATATATATTGTTGGTTTTATGTCTAATGCCTCAGGGATTAGATATAAACCATTTCACAGTTTAATTAAATAGTCTTGCTCTTTCCATAAATTTTTCTGTTGAGTTTGAGCAAAATAATTCGTTGCCTTTTCTAGATGTATTAATTATTAAGGGAAACCATGATTTTAAATTCAAAATATAAAAAAAAAACCAATTAACTGTTCTTATATACACTATTATTCTTCACATCAGTATTTTCATCAATGTTTTTAAGAGCTTTGCTTATTTGCTGCCCAGAGTTAATACATGAAGAAATCTTAAACATTTATGAAATAACTAATGATCTAAAATACCCAAGACACTTAACTGATAAATCAATTAAAATTGCTAGAAATACTTTTTACAATTCAAATAGAAGAGACAATCTTATTCAAGCAAGAATCTGCTGGTTCTCCCTCACCATGAAAACTTTCTTGATATACATTCTCTACTTAAGATTTTTAAAATCGAAATTGTTTTTAAAAATCTTGATACAGTAAAAAAATTTTGATTAAAAATTCCTCCAAAAGATGCTGATGGCTGTCTACAAGATTCCCCTGTAAATAAAATGTGATAAAATTTATTACAGTCAAACTGGGAAAAGTCTTGAACTAAGATTACAACAACATACATATTGCATTAAAATTGGACAAGATTCTAATGCTCTGTTTATTCCTGTGAGAGATTTTAACCATCCAATTGATTTTCAAAAGACTGAGAAAGTTGTATCAAGTAGGTCCATGGTTGAGAGAAATATAATAGAATGAAATATAATAAAAAATAGTTTTGAATTTAATATGAATATTGGTTTAGGATTATACAAATTAGATTAATTTATAATTAATAAACTCTGGAAAGAATTTAAGAAATGTTTGACAAGTTAAAATCATAAAACTTGAGAAGAATATAAGCAATGTTTGACAGGTCCTTGACCATCTTACTAACATCATCATAAAAGGAAAGGTGAGGTGTCCTCTGTTGACCGTGAGGTGTGTACTCGTTCTTGTATGCCTTCTGTTGTTCTCCTATTTTTACAATTACCTGATAATGTGAAAAATTCCGAAAGTGCTTGGAAATTCACTATTTTTTTCAGAGTGGTTGTTTTGCATATATACGTATATATATATATATATATATATATATATATATATATATATATAATATATATATATATATATATATATATATATATATATATATATATATATATATATATTATATATATATTAAAAATCGTTTCGTCCTAGGTCATTGCGTCACTCTTCACTCTCCTCCTGTATATATCGTATTTTTAACCTCTGTATATATTAGAAGTAATCAGGGTCCCAGGATCGATACGTTTTCTAATAAATATGTCCTAATGTTTGCTTATGTGTCTTTCTAAATCATTCAAGATACTAAAAGTCGACATAATCAAAATATGAAGACTTTTAAAAATGCAAACAGAAGCAATTACGTGAAACAATAGTATGAATATGTGAAACAGAAAAAGTTTTGGAGCTACGGAGCATTGTAGTAGTCTGCCCCTTGATGTTGTTGGTGCCAGTTCAATTCACTCCTTCATGTATCAGTCAGCCAAGCACTGTACAGGCATACCATTTTGTTACAAGATGCCCAGCTGGCCAGACCACTGCATTCATATGCAGAATTGGAGGTTGATACATCGCCTCAGCTGACAGTGAAACAACATAGTGGTTCCAGCAGAACTAATACAATCACAGTAGAGATGCTTTCCATTCTATTTTGTCTATCCTTGTGTGTTTTTAGAATACGTAAAGTAAAAGGACACAAGTGCAACTAATGTGACATTTTATTGTGGCAACGTTTCGCTCTCTAGGAGCTTTGTCAAGCCGTTACAAACAGTACATGGACACAGAGGACATATATAGGCTCAGAGTGAGGTGCAATACTAGCGGTGGTGTTTTCTTTACTCCCTCAACAGCTAGCCTCAGTAGACAGCAAAATCGTCTGCTGTCTGTCTGTCTCTCTCATTCTCACTCTCACCCCCCAGCTTAACAGTGCTCCCCATTGTTCCATTGTTCGTCTTCCATACAGAGATATTCCAGCTCTCTCGAGGCTATTTCCAGCAACATTGTCCTTCACACAGTGTTGTGGCAACGAAGGTCATGTCCAGTGTGCGGAGACATTAACCGTGTGTTAGCACTTGCTGGGGGTGAGTGGAGGTGGGAGAGGGACCTGGTATGGGGAGAGTGAGAGGGACGGAACTGAGGGAAGGTGGGAGGACATAAGTGAGGAGAGAGTGAAAGGGCTGCAAGTGAAGGGAGGTGGGAGAGAGGGACGTTAGGGAGAGAAGATGGTGAGAAGTGGGAGAGAAAGACGTGAGGGAAAATTGGAGAGGGAAAGGCTGGCTGCAGGTAAAATTCAGTGGGTACCACTGTGTTTGAGTTGGTACACGTGTGAAGTTAACTAGTTTCATCATCATCAGGTACATAACATTGTAAATATCTTGCTACCCAGCACACACGTTTTTCCCAGTACCTTTGTACCTTCCTACCCAACACAGGTTCTCTCTAGCACGTCTGTACCTTCTTACACCTGCATTATTAGCAAGTATTTTCCCAGGTTTCTACCCACAGGAGATGACAGTTTCTAGGAACATATTTGCTGCTAGGTGATCATAGGCAATAAGTGTAAGGAGACTAACGAGCAGGGAGGTGAGAGGAGGGGCCTACCTTTACTATCCCTTACCCGCCCTTCCCTCACCTTCCCTCCCCTCCTCCCCTCACCTTCCCTCACTCTCTCCCCTCACCTTCCTTCACCGCCTTCCCTCAACCACGTGTACTGCCTGGAAAATGTTACACAGAGGGAACAGGAAATATGATGCTCTATGTTGCTACTGGTATATAGGACACTCAACAGCCCACCCTCCCTCCTTCCCTCCCTCTCCCCTTCCTTTCTTCTCTCCCTCCCTTCCTCCCTCTCTCCCTCCCTCCCTCTCTCACATTCACCTTCACTATGTCGTCGTCATAGCTACATTCACCTTCAGTGTGACGTCATTCCTTATGTGGAATGTCATAACGCAGTACATTCTCTCACCACGACTGATACTCGTGTATATTTAAACCTTTATTGGTGTTTTCAGCCAAAATGTTGCCAGACGTGCTGCGGTCTTTAATTTAATTTCCTCATTTGTGGCGAAATGTACGTTTTAACGTGTTCATGCATGCTTCTCTAATCGAATCTAACCAAAGCTAACCTAATCTATCCTAACCTAACCTAGCCTAACCTAACCTAACCTAACCTAACCTAACCTAACCTAACCTAACCTAACCTAACCTAACCTAATCTAACCTAACCTAACCTAACCTAACCCAACCAAACCTAAAATAGAGAAATATTATTTGAAGGTTCGCAGAAAACGTCATGAAACTGACGTTAGGTATCGTTACATTGGTTAATTATGGTTGTTACGTAGACTCTACAGTGACCCGAGAAAGCTCTTCAGTGAATATTTAGTATGAACTCACAATTAGGAAAATTATGGGTTAATTAGGTATAGCAAAAGGGATGATACCGTTTGGGATACCTAATACACACACACACACACACACACACACACACACACACACACACACACACACACACACACACACACACACACACACACACACACACACACACACACACACACACGCACACACACACACACTTACCTTTAGTATAAACTTATACTTGAGGTGATCAGGAGAGAGGTCAGTGAGTGGAGTGTTGGTGTGAAGAGGGTGAACATAGAGGTGGTTTCCCAGCACTTCCTTCAGGATACTAGCCATTACCTGCTGTTGCTTCACACTGCAGTGGTTCTCCAGGTGGATGATTACGGGATACCTGCATAGGAAAACTTTTCAGACAGGTGATAAGTATTCTACATAGTTGGTGAAGATCAAGACAGAGGATAAAAGCTTTAGACACGTAGTACACATTTCAGAAAAAATGTCATCTGTTTCAGAGAGGTGGTCAACGTTGAGAAAAGAAATCCTACCAGAGAGAGAGAGATAGATAGATAGATAGAGAGAGAGAGAGAGAGAGGATACATGACACAAGTTGTAAACGTTTCAGACAGCTGGTAAGCGTATTACACGGATGGAAAACGTTAAAGGAAAAATTACGTACGACAATGGTCAACGTCGATGACAGGTGGTTCCATGGTTAATATATATATATATATATATATATATATATATATATATATATATATATATATAATATATATATATATATATATATATATATATATATATATATATATATATATATATATATATATATATATATATATATATATATATATATATTATATATATATATATATATATAATATGCAATAAGATCACTGTAAACAGGTGATTTCAGAATATGCAAAACAACCACTCTGAAAGAATAGAGAAATTCAAAGCGCTTTCGTGACTACTCACATTATCAAGGAACTATGAAAGTAAAGCATCCAAGGAAGCTATATAAGGGGTCTGGCCAACACCTCACTATCAGATCCCACAACCGTTAAACACCTGACGCGCGCCGACCCAACTGGATAGGTCCTTTGCACAACTCACCCACAAACTATTCTACCCAAGAAAATTTAAAAATTATTATTTGTCCAGTGTATTATTAAATTCTTCCCAAATTCTATTAATTATAAATGGATCTAATTTATATAAACCAAAGGAAATATTCATATTATTGTCAAAACTGCTTTTTATGAAACAAGATTCAATTATATTTCTGTCGACCATGGACTTGCTTGATACTACTTTCTCAACTTTTTGAAAATCAATTGGATGGTTAAAATCTCTTACATGAATAAATAGAGCATTGGAATCTTGTCCAGTTCTAATGCTATATTTATGTTGTTTTAATCTTAGTTCGAGATTTTTACCAGTTTGACCGTAATAAACTTTATCGCAAATTTTATTAAACTTTGCATTGTTGATGCAAAATTTGTATTTAATGATAAGTTTTACACTCAGAAGTTTGGTATGGCAATGGGAAATCACCTGTTCTTAGTAACCTGTTCTTAGTAACCTATACATGGAATTTTTTGAAACAAGGTTGCTTAACACAATCCTCCCTAATAGAGCTAAATGGTTCAGATATGTTGATGTTATTTTATGTCTTATGCCCAAAAATGTAGATATACACCATTTCCTTGGAAAATTAAATAGCTTAGCCCATTCTATAAACTTTACTGTTGAGTTTGAAGAAAATAACTCATTGCCTTTTCTAGATGTTTTAATTATTAAGGGTAATAATGAATTCAAATTTAAAATTTACAGAAAACCTACAAATAACTGTTCCTATGTCCACTATTGTTCCTCTCATCAAGATAGAGTCAAACTGTCTGTTTTCTCATCAATGTTTTTGAGAGCTTTACGAATTTGTAGTCCTGAGTTCATAGATGAGGAAATATCCAAAATTTACGAAATAGGTAATGATTTAAAATACCCAAGAAATGTAATTGATAAATCTTTTAAAGTTACTAGAAATACTTTTTACAATCCAAAAAGGGACAACCAGCCTTATTCAACTAAAAATATGTTGGTTCTCCCTTACCATGAAAACTTGGTTGATATCCTTTCTCTTCTTAAGACTTTTAATATTAAAGTTGCATTCAGAAATCTTGATACAGTAAAAAAAACTTTTGATAAAGAATTCCCCCCAAAATGCTGATGGATGTGTCTATAAGATTCCTTGTAAAATTTGCGATAAAGTTTATTACGGTCAAACTGGTAAAAATCTCGAACTAAGATTAAAACAACATAAATATAGCATTAGAACTGGACAAGATTCCAATGCTCTATTTATTCATGTAAGAGATTTTAACCATTCAATTGATTTTCAAAAAGTTGAGAAAGTAGTATCAAGCAAGTCCATGGTCGACAGGAATATAATTGAATCTTGTTTCACAAAAAGCAGTTTTGACAATAATATGAATATTTCCTTTGGTTTATATAAATTAGATCCATTTATAATTAATAGAATTTGGGAAGAATTTAATAATACATTGGACAAATAATAATTTTTAAATTATCTTGGGTAGAATAGTTTGTGGGTGAGTTGCGCAAAGGACCTATCCAGTTGGGTTGGCGCGCGTCACGTGTTTAACCGTTGTGGGATCTGATAGTGAGGTGTTGGCCAGACCCCTTATATAGCTTCCTTGGATGCTTTACTTTCATAGTTCCTTGATAATGTGAGTAGTCACGACGAAAGCGCTTGGAATTTCTCTAGTCTTTCAGAGTGGTTGTTTTGCATATATATATATATATATATATATATATATATATATATATATATATATATATATATATATATATATATATATATATATATATATACATATATATATATATATATATATATATATATATATATATATATATATATATATATATATATATATATATATATATATATATATATAGATATATATAGATATATATATATATATATATATATATATATATATATATATATATATATATATATATATATATATATATATATATATATATATATATAAGAACAGCTACACAACAGAGGGGAGGACATTCTTGTACGGTATCTAGTACTTCAAACACATGTTACTGGAAGGACATTCTTGTACGTGATCTAGAGGTTCAAACATCTGTTAACGAGAGGACATTCTCGTACGTGATCTAGTGGTTCAAATAACTGTTAACGGGAGGACATTCTCGTACGTGATCTATTGGTTCAAACACCTGTTAATGGGAGAACATTCTTGTACGTGATCTAGTGGTTCAAACACCTGTTAAGGGGAGAACATTCTTGTATGTGATCTAGTGGTTCAAACACCTGTTAAGGGGAGAACATTCTTGTACGTGATCTAGTGGTTCAAACACCTGTTAAGGGGAGAACATTCTTGTACGTGATCTAGTGGTTCAAACACCTGTTAAGGGGAGAACATTCTTGTACTTGATCTAGTTGTTCAAACACCTGTTAAGGGGAGAACATTCTTGTACGTGATCTAGTGGTTCAAACACCTGTTAAGGGGAGAACATTCTTGTACGTGATCTAGTGGTTCAAACACCTGTTAAGGGGAGAACATTCTTGTACGTGATCTAGTGGTTCAAACACCTGTTAAGGGGAGAACATTCTTGTACTTGATCTAGTGGTTCAAACACTTGTTAAGGGGAGAACATTCTTGTACTTGATCTAGTGGTTCAAACACCTGTTAAGGGGAGAACATTCTTGTACGTGATCTAGTGGTTCAAACACCTGTTAAGGGGAGAACATTCTTGTACGTGATCTAGTGGTTCAAACACCTGTTAAGGGGAAAACATTCTTGTACGTGATCTAGTGGTTCAAACACCTGTTAAGGGGAAAACATTCTTGTACGTGATCTAGTGGTTCAAACACCTGTTAAGGGGAGAACATTCTTGTACGTGATCTAGTGGTTCAAACACCTGTTAAGGGAGAACATTCTTGTACGTGATCTAGTGGTTCAAACACCTGTTAAGGGGAGAACATTCTTGTACGTGATCTAGTGGTTCAAACACCTGTTAAGGGGAGAATATTCTTGAACGTGATCTAGTGGTTCAAACACCTGTTAAGGGGAGAACATTCTTGTGCGTGATCTAGTGGTTCAAACACCTGTTAAGGGGAGAACATTCTTGTACGTGATCTAGTGGTTCAAACACCTGTTAAGGGGAGAACATTCTTGTACGTGATCTAGTGGTTCAAACACCTGTTAAGGGGGAATATTCTTGTACGTGATCTAGTGGTTCAAACACCTGTTAAGGGGAGAACATTCTTGTACGTGATCTAGTGGTTCAAACACCTGTTAAGGGGAGAACATTCTTGTACGTGATCTAGTGGTTCAAACACCTGTTAAGGGGAGAACATTCTTGTACGTGATCTAGTGGTTCAAACACCTGTTAAGGGGAGAACATTCTTGTACGTGATCTAGTGGTTCAAACACCTGTTAAGGGGAGAACATTCTTGTACGTGATCTAGTGGTTCAAACACCTGTTAAGGGGAGAATATTCTTGAACGTGATCTAGTGGTTCAAACACCTGTTAAGGGGAGAATATTCTTGTACGTGATCTAGTGGTTCAAACACCTGTTAAGGGGAGAATATTCTTGTACGTGATCTAGTGGTTCAAACACCTGTTAAGGGGAGAATATTCTTGTACGTGATCTAGTGGTTCAAACACCTGTTAAGGGGAGAATATTCTTGTACGTGATCTAGTGGTTCAAACACCTGTTAAGGGGAGAACATTCTTGTACGTGATCTAGTGGTTCAAACACCTGTTAAGGGGAGAACATTCTTGTGCGTGATCTAGTGGTTCAAACACCTGTTAAGGGGAGAATATTCTTGTACGTGATCTAGTGGTTCAAACACCTGTTAAGGGGAGAATATTCTTGTACGTGATCTAGTGGTTCAAACACCTGTTAAGGGGAGAATATTCTTGTACGTGATCTAGTGGTTCAAACACCTGTTAAGGGGAGAATATTCTTGTACGTGATCTAGTGGTTCAAACACCTGTTAAGGGGAGAACATTCTTGTACGTGATCTAGTGGTTCAAACACCTGTTAAGGGGAGAATATTCTTGTACGTGATCTAGTGGTTCAAACACCTGTTAAGGGGAGAATATTCTTGTACGTGATCTAGTGGTTCAAACACCTGTTAAGGGGAGAACATTCTTGTACGTGATCTAGTGGTTCAAACACCTGTTAAGGGGAGAATATTCTTGTACGTGATCTAGTGGTTCAAACACCTGTTAAGGGGAGAATATTCTTGTACGTGATCTAGTGGTTCAAACACCTGTTAAGGGGAGAATATTCTTGTACGTGATCTAGTGGTTCAAACA